CGTGCTTCAGCTAGAATAGAAAGTAATATATTGAACATGTGATTATCAACAAATGAATTATTACCTTTTCTCTAATACTGCTCCATATGCAACAGGACGGGCTGCCGCCGGTGCTGAATCACTTCTATTATGCCAGAGTATCCTATTTAGCGTTAATAATTGGAATGAAACGCACTGTATGTCCGCATACGAGTCAAGTTTAAAAGTTCGTTTTGTTGCCTCCACACGAGAAGAGAGTTTACATTCATAGCTACTTGAATCACCAGTACAATATGTGTCGTTCTTGTTAAGGTCCATACCAGCATGGAATTCGAGATAACAAGTGTAAATCTAAAATTTCCATTATCCTTACATACAATATCACAAACTGTCAAATGTGATGGCTTTGATCTATCGTTTTACTTCCTATAAATGTCGAGGCTCACTAAATTTTTTTTCTTGTTATCAAATTTGTAAAATGGTGGCTAATCTTCGGTAAAAAAAAGAAAACATTTTGTTACATTTTCATATCACCTGTGCATGAAGATGCAATTGCCATTATACAAGCTGATTAAACCATACTTACAGATTGTGGACCGGCTGTTTCTAGTATTGTCTTTTTCAGTGCTGGAGGAATAGAGAGATGCTCAGGTACATAACCCTTGCAGTCTTCATTTTTTTCGGAGGCAACCATTGTCAACGCCTGAAATACTTCTGTGATTGACCATACGTATTTGCTCAAATATGAACTTACAATGGAAAGCATGCAGTAATAAAACAACACTCTGCAACAATCACACATTGCTCTCAACCAGGAGATTTCTGGAGAACTGCAATTTATCAATACTATTCCATCGGCATTTCATTTGTATGGAGATTTAGTACAACAAAAATTAGTTTGTTATAAAATAAAAACTGGAAATCTAATTTTACATTCATTTCCACATACATTTTATGACAAATTGTTATTATAAACTAGTTGTGTGTTCAGAATATAATTTTATCCGTTACACATTTAGTTATACAATATCAGTCTTATCCTGAGCCTTATTCTCGATCAGTTTCAAACGAATTATTAACGAATTTTTGAGCACAATAGAGGAACCCCTGAGCAGTACAATGTTAATCGTAAGCAGCACAATACATTGGCTCCACACTGAGATTGCATTATTTGTGTATAGATATAGTGCAATTAAGCCAATCGATTACCATATTAGAGCAAAAAATGTTTACAGAGTTGTCCTGTGTTAGATTGTTCCAGAAAATCATTGTTTTCTTTTTTTGTAAGATTTTGATAGAGTATAATATTTTACTACATGAGAACTAAGCAATAGCGTAGGCACTAATTGATATATAGATCTTACATTATATACCAGGTACACTCCTACTTCGATCGCTTCAATAATCCTATGCTAGCTGCCTGCGCTCATTGTCTCTCTTTAAAGTTTTATCATATGACACTGGTAAATGCAAAAATAAATGGTGACCAAATAGTATGAGTGTTAAATGTGTT